TATCTGGACCCGTTCTACATGTCTGGCTTGTGGCGACTGGCGTAGGCGTGCAGCCTCTAGCATACACGAACCGATAAGCGTTACCAGAACAAGCTATACGTACAGATATGCAGGAAAGGATCTTATGAATTTCCATCAGTTTGCTTAAGCGTTATGGATGCTAATGTTCCATCAGATGTATGGTATACTCGGCAATCTTAAAAAGAAATTACATGAGGCGTAAATGGAAAAGACTAGATTTGTTAAGGTACGAAAGGTATATATATATATATATTAGCGTTGGAAGTGAATTAATCTCGAACTTGGGTACCTCTATACTTTTAACTTATGCTTCCATAACAATGTTTAGTATGATGTATTTAATACGGTTTAAAAAAAAACAATGTTTTTTTTCAGGATGCAGAATTAAAATTCGTTTGGCAGATCCATCAGACTAGCAGTTTGCGCTAACAGAAATATATTTATAGGGTGCACAGACATTAGAATGCCTCTGCACCCTATTTATACAAATACCCTGGATTTATATCAGTTGTCTCATATCCTAAGCGTTATAGAAGTGCCCGCACGACTTGCCATAGACTTCCATAATCAGTTTCGTTACACAAAAGCAAAAAGACTTTAGAAAAACATCTTGGAATAATAGCGTTTCACATTCAGTTTTCGTTTTAAAGTTCTCTGTTGAATTAATGTACAGAAGCACATTTATGAGTTGCCTTTCTCAAGCAACAATGATGGTTGGTGTGATAAAGCACCATGCCAAAAATGCGATTTCGATACCATACCATTTACCATTACCTAGACAGATCTTCTGCTCAGAACAAAAAATTGAAAACGTTTCCTATTTAAAGAAATCTCCACGGCTCACTCGTGTTTCTCCGATATAAACCGTATTATAGTTGGAGTGAAGGCAATATTCTATGAAACTGGATTCAACTATACGCCACTTACTTTCCCTGTCTCTAGTCGCTAAAAACTGTGGTTCCGACGTGGGCACTTCTGAAACGGACGCGGAGAGAGGCTTGTCCGATGACCACAAACAGCAACTAAATCTAATGTAAATAATAAGCACGAAAGGGTACGAAATAATTCAACAGACCACGATCTTTTCGAACAGAACCTACATTTATCATTCATATCGATATGGGTAGAACTGGAGATGTTCTACAAACATCACCTGGATTTGTATATCAATTATACAAGATATTCTATAGTATCGAAATGCTTCTAAAATGATTTTTACCAATATACTTCATGGTCAAGTGCTAGATAGTAAACACATCCTCCTTGTTCCTTGGTCACAGTTAAAGAAACGCAATTCACTTCCGCGAAATATCTATGCGATTATTATTTATAGCCAAGCGACTGAAAAGCCCAATGCATGCCATTAGTGCTCCTCGGCGGCGGCAAATCGAACCAGCTCGTCTCTAAAGATCCATTCTATTACCTGCCAATAGAACAAAGCTGATCTGATATGACGTCAAGTGGAAAATAAAGAGGGTGAATAACAAACTGGCTGCTTATGGCCAATGGCTTTCGTTTGCAGGCCGGAAACGGCATGTCTGTCATATATTCGCGATTATGTTTTCAGATACCTTTCGTGTTTCTCTTTTTTAATGAATCGTAGTATATTAGCTTCTGCGCAAATCATCTATGTAGCATTTATATATATATATATATGGGCACCGAACTAAAGATCACAGCTTGTCCAATAATTAGCACTTTACTAACGGCTAAACACTGACCGACCTTTACTGACAGGCACAGGACAAAGATTTTTACTTTTAGACCCCTGAGAAGAACAACGTCGAAATATTCTCCAATAATTGAGCACACAGTGCACGCACTTTACGGAAATCATATGACTGACCCAGTGGCACAATCTGAATAATCCTTTGTTACACGACACATACTTTGGCTCTGTTCCACGGGTGGAGCAGCTCTATATGACGTCTACCACGAAAGCGTCATAGAAGTGATCGCACGACTAGCCAGAACCAATGAGACGAATCACAAAGATTTTGTTGTTAAAAAAACCGCTTCGCGCACGGTTAAGCATTGGATGGACGAGGGGTAGTGTATGATACAGCAGCTGATAATACCTGTGTAACGAAAATTCGGAGCAATTAAAGGTTCTCATATGTTATAACAAACGGATAATGATGATACATACGGCAGTTGCAGCAAAAACAGAACAATCTCATGCACTCTAACAGACATCTATAGAAATGGGAATTATATAAGGGATATTTGCTCGACTAGCTTTAAGTTCAGATTTATCAGGTAAAAATCTGGACCCATTTGTGCCAAAACGCTCTTTCCTTCGGTAAGCTAATGGCCTTTGCCTGGCATGACAGAATCGCAACTACAGTTTCTGCTGTATTTCTGTCTTCAAGGGTAACTGTTTCATGCTGTAATTAAACATGTTATAGTGTGATAACCCTAACGTCACAGATTACGTCACAAACCTGCAGAGGTGCAGGTTTTCTGAAACTTTGCACTCTTAGCCTTGAAAGTGTTCGGTAATCTAGTACGGTCCTCTGCCGTACGGTTTAACATAAGGCTGCCAAAGTATTAGTCCGTTATTCGTTACAAAGCCCCTCCAAAGTGGTGCAATGCAGACGTTGATCTGCTGCATTGATAACTGATTAGCGTCGGTCCGCCTTAGGAGGTTCAGGCAGTTTTTGGGGCACGTCTATGCAGTTGAAACAAACACCATCGATTTCAATAGGGATATGGATTGAGAATTCCAATGTTTTTTTTTTTTCATAGAACCTGTATACAAGCATCAGGTATGCTGACCACAAGTGTATCAACAGGTGACTAAACCACCCCCTGAACCTTCGAAGGTTAACAAGGTCGACTTCCTGGCAATTCAAAGGCTCAGTTCTGCTATAGTCTCATACATTTATGTCACTACTGAATGTGTATAGTAGTTACTTAGCTTTCACATGTCTACTATTTGTGCTTTGAAACAGCTGTTAGTCTGGAAATTTTCAATTTATTAACCACGAACATCGCTACGTCGAGTCTCGCTAACTGGATGCTGCACGATTTGCACGAATAAAAATAAAAAGTCCAAGTTACTTATAAACGTATTGATTTCAGCCCAAACCCGAAAGCTCATTACGGCCAGTTAAATACAAATTAGATGTTGAACGGTAACAGCAGACGTAAAAGTCGAACCAATTTTTGGTTATGATACAAACAGGAATTATTTTATATGTTCATCTGAGTTTTTGCTGTATTTCTGTCTTCAAGGGTAACTGTTATAACACCATCACGCAGATTAGTTTTACCCTGTGTGTTTATGCTGCTATGTTCCCTCTTGGCGAGGGTTCACAAGAATGCCACAAGTACTTTCAGTCTATAATGACGAAAAAAAAAAAGATTTTTTGAAAGTAAAATATAATCTGATGTACCATCTAGATATTTTACACTAGTCAGTGTTTCGACTCGGCTACAAAATAAAAAGCTTTGTTTATCGCTATTTCAGATTTTTCAGATTTATAAAATAACCACTTTTATAGCCACTATAGATTATTGCTCGAAAGATGACGATTGTTAAGTGTTATTTATCTTGTGCCCAGCACTGTTTGAACACAAAAACAGATTGAACTTTCTTATTGAGAGCTTTCAAAACGAAACATTTTGATTTCATAATAAAGTACATATAAAAATAATTCTCTTTATTCGTATAAATTTTACTTACTAGGCAGATTCATTAGGCAGTTGTCAAAAGAGCCTAGAAGCCCGTCCACAACATACATACATGCATGTACGTTCTGCATACGTATAGCTACTCCTCTGCACGTTACGAGTACACAGTAAATGATTACCTGCTGTGTTGAGCATAGAGGATTAATCCAATTTCAAGCGTTTGACTTGCCAAGTCAAAATCAGCCATATCGTACCAGAGCGGACAATTTGTAGATGAACAAATTGTATTGTGATTAGTTAGCTACTAGTATAATAGGGTTTTGCAAGCAAGCTAACTTCATCCCGTCGAAACTGTATAACGTTACGAACGTGTTACTGACAATACAGCCAGATTAGTTGTAGAAATTCGACCTCGTCGCTCCTAATTTTCACTTCGCCACCCTTCGAATATAATAAGATCCGAGACACTCAATGAAATAATGGGAAAACAGCTAAGACAACTAATGAGTATATGAGGTTTATGCATCGATGGCTAGAAAATGAGGTTTCACAAGTTGCCGCCATAATAATTAATTCGAACGGCGGCAGAAGAACTTTCTAATGATTGAATTTATATTCTTTTTGTACTAACACTTGAAACTTTACGACCGCCCTGCGTGCATAGCCTTGCAATACTGCACAATGTAGGCTAAGATACGGAACTAAACATAATGGCTGTTGCTTATTGCTAATTATAAATGACCGTACGAGGAGTCATCATTTTTTCCAATGAAATATCGAAGTTATTCGAATTAGCTGGCTTATGAAAGCGCTATCACAAACACCAACGGGACCTATTCTTTTGACAGCCATGTTTTGTCATCACTAGTTATATTTTCGTTAGCTGGCGATCTGGCTTACTGCTTACTATTGGTTAATGATGTTTGATATATCAGGCTATCTTTAAAAGAGGAATGGAAAATTAGGCTCTCATTTGTAACTATCTAAACGATAAGGACAGTTGGCCCCGTTATGTCGGTGTGTTTCTTCGAAAGTAGTAGCTACAAACCTTATCAAAAGTTGATTTGTTTACATGTTCTAGTTATTGTCTAATCGCTTAGAGCTGACCGATCTTACTTGAAACACTACTCATGCAGGACACGTCCATAACCAATGACCTCATTTCCTGACAAACCGCTGGGAGAAAGACACTACTGGCAAGATAGCATTTTTCACTATATTCAATGATCGACCGTATGTGTCTCGGAGCTAAAACTTGTGTGTGTGTGTGTGTGTGTGTGTGTGTTCTTATGTATGTGTACATATGTATACTATCCACTAACTCTGCATTGAATTCGATTCAAGTAAGCTAAGAGCTGTTGTGTGCCGATTAGCTGAGATATCACTCAATCGCCAAATGAAACTTGAGGGCATTGGAACGGCGCAATACGCTGACTATCTGCGTTGGGTATTTTCATAGAGTTCTGTGGTACCATTCTATGTAACAACCAAAGCAATCAGTTTAATTTCTGTAAATGCCAATAACGAGTATTTGCACGTTGCCCCATGTTGTTTTCCTAAACTTTAGCTCATAGTTCTTCGAACGAACACGCTATCACCATTACTTATTGTCTTCTGAAAATACTGGGGCAATTTGACAACAAGTACATTGATCAATAGGCAAAATGTTCAATTAAGAGGCAATTTTAGCTGGAAAGCATCAACATTAGTAGGGTAATATCCGGGAATTCGCTCATGCCGTATGAATCCGAATTTTTCATACAGGTGTAACGAGGCCCGATTGTTCACCTCTGTGTGCAATATGATTTCATTGACGCGTTCACTTTTCAGTAACTGGATCGCGCGCCTCATAAGGTTACAAGCTATTTTGCGTTTACGGTAATTCTCGTCAACAGCCAGGTAAGCAATGGTGGCTCGCACTTCCGATCCTGGCTGGCATTCAAGTCTGAATAGGATACAGCCGACAAGCTTCTGCTTGTCTGTGGCTAGCACGCACGCCAAGCTTGGATACATTCGGAGGTACGAGTCGATGTAAACCCAATAGGCTTGGGGAAAGCACCTATGGAGTAGTTCCGTAATTATTGTCAGATTAGGCAATAGCGGTACCGTATCATAGTCTATCCCACCCATTGTAGCCAATTGTGTGCTTGAGATAGAGGGACCATTGCATGTTTTGGTCGCCGCTGGCGAGACTGTCGGCGTTTTCTCGCGTGATCCATCAATAGCTTGAAAATCCGTGCTTAGCGTAGCTGCAGCCAACCGTGTAGTGCTTTCATCGGCACTTTCACTCCGTAGGTCTGTACTAATTTTCATAATTTTTTTTCTACCACAAGCCGCTCAAAAAGACATCGTTGTTTTTTCAAGAATTAATGTTTTGCTAAATTGTATGAGGTATGGTTTTTTATGATGGATGGGCCAGTTTCTGATATTAATGCTATGAGTAGCCGCGGGTCAGTTCAGCCAAGGACAATCGATAGTGCCGATGGGGTACGTGCTCCGCCACTTGCAAAATGGTGTTTCAACACCTGCATCCGCATTGCGTAGTCACTTTTCTGTTTTGTTACGGTGACTATACTTTTATATATCCTCAGATTTAACTTGTTCTGACACCTGCGTTTGTTGATGGCAAATAGGTCTGCGCTTTAAAAAACTACTGAGATGAAAATATTTTGCTCCTGCGAATTTGACCATAAAACATTGTATGGCCTTACGAATGAGCAGCTTTTGTTGGGAACTGATTCTTTCTTTTTTCAATTGCTGAACGAACCTTCACAAGTAGTGTAATATATTTCAAAAGCATTAAAGGGACGGCACGAAGCGTACGCAGACCCATAATTAACTGTCTTGATACCTTACTTGATAATTATCATTAGTAGACAAATTTCTATTTATTACTATTATTAACACAGCGAAAGTAGAGCATTTCGTATTGTTAGCGTACCGGAAACGGACGACAATCTGCAAGTTGCAGTTTGCAGACAGAGGCCGAAGAGATTCGATATGGGTGATATGATGACATGACTCCTCAACTGACAGTTCTAACATATTAGTAGCAGACAAAAGTTCTCTCGGACATGACCTGCTTTTTAAACTAAAGGAGTAACCTTAAGTTAGTAATCAAGTGTAAGGTCCTATCCATGTGTGCGATCTTAATGTGTATAATTCCTCCATCTTGTTTCCGGTACATTGCGTGTTTGACTCATAAGGAAAAGTTGAAAATCATTAATAAACTTTAGTAGCTGTTACTATATTAAAGGGGTAACTATATTAAAGACCTTATTTAAACCTTTAATTATTCAATCAGTCTGACTAATTTTAGTAGGCAACTGTTGAAAAATCAAACCGTATATTAAAAAAATAATTATTTTTTTCAAATGAAATACACTATCTAAATAAGTGTCCCATATGGATTATCCACACAATGAGTAAACTCGTTTTACCTGTTGACACGTTGTGACCGATCCGACCTCCGTGTGCTAATCTAATATTTAAACACGTTCCGGTGACAGCCTCAACTCGTGTGGCAAGCTCTCACTACTTATTAAAGAACATCAACCCTCTTGTCAAAATCGTCAAAGATTCGGTCTATGGTCACTTCTTCTAACGCACACCCATAAGCGCCATCAAGCTAATGGAGATGATATATTCTGGTGTATTCAAGTTACATATTGAATTTTTTTCTCGCACTTCGCCATGATAATGTGCTATGGCATACAATATACATATGTAATGACAAGAATGCTAGTAATAAAAATACCGACATGTGTAAACAAGCAAGATTTTTAACACGATCGATAAGTACTACGAAAATTCAATCAAAACATTTGACAAAGGGTCTACTAACTTGAATGAACACGGTAAGTATACTATTCAACATGCTAATAATGTGCCGCGAAGGTTTGGATGCTTGGATGAAATAACTCGTCTAATTTTAGGCAGAATTTAACTCCACGTCATAAATGAAAACTTTGGTTATTGTTTTGGGGGGTAAATAATGAATATTTCTTTCCCGTTTTTCTACGTCCAACAATAGTTTCAGTTTTTCAGATCAACTTACCTAAAGTGAATCAAATCTATATAAGCCCATGTGTCTGGAGGGCCAATTGGCTATGCATTTGTAAACATACGGCACAAACGTGACATTAGCTTGCCGAGAGACGAGTTTATTATAGTTATAGAATGTTGGTGCATTGATGCTGACGATGATGGGCCGTTCGAGGTCGGCCCCAGGCACCATTGATATGCGCACAGGATAATGTGACCTTCCCCACATCAAGCCTATTTTGCTGTGTAAGTTACTTGCCTGAAGCGGCCTTTTTATTATGCAGGCGTAGCCGATAAGTTAGCTACCACTACTATCGCTTGCAATAATGACTTCGAAGAAGCTGCAATAATAATATGAAGGCGGAAAGCAGCGTCGACGGATTAAGGTGTTTCATTCCGTCCACCTTCATATCCACGGTTTCCTTACCAGCCTCTGTGTTGCTTCTCCCCGTCGAATGCCACTGGGGACATCAACGATTGTCTGTTCTTTGGCAACATCAATGACCGTGAACATTGCGGGCTTCTGACCTATACTTAGGCTAACAACCCAAATACTACATGGTACACAAATGGTGACAGTACACATGATCTTGAGGGCAAATGTTTGCTTGCCATCGGAGGACAGGCGGGTATTGTTGTCTAACAGAATTACGTGACGATTATCTCCTTACGCAAAAGGTCCGAACTTTGTTTTATTGGATTATTTCTCTCGAGTTGACTTGCGTTATTGATGCGAAACAGTGCAGCGTGAAAATGTGTCACGATACTCAGCTTTTTCGGTGTGTAGAATTATTAGCATAGAGTATCGATGTTTTTCGTACGAGCAGTGGTTGCTAAAGCTACTCCATTAGTTGATTCATTCACTTATTGGCTTTTTATAACATGTATCTCACGAAGTTCCTAGGAAGTTCCGGTGCAGAGTGGAAACAGCTGAATGAATCTAGAGAATAGCACGGCTAAGACAGATTCAACAGGCATAAGTACGTGGTTAGCAGATGTCTGCTTAGGGATTAATTCGTTGCCAGCAACAGTTTAATAGACGAGACGATGGAAATGCTGAATAACAAAATAAACATATACGCAGATATCTATTTCTTTATAAGTTCCAATTTCATTGCAATAAATCGATAGATAGATAGATAGATAAATCAAATATTGTGTATAATCTTATCGTTAGTCTACTAGAGAAGTGAGGCTTTTATATTATCGAGTCTATGCCCCCATTCGAAGAATACCTTTAACAATGCCTAAAGGCAATGCCATCATTTCCGCAGAGTTGACAATTTTCAGGTTCATTATGCCACCCTCTTCATAACGCCATTTCTGAATAAGGATAATTCTGTTAATAGATCTGTCCTTTTAAGTATACTGTGAACGCGTGAACAGTACCCTTCTCCGAGAAGGCAGACGAAAACCTTCTGGCCTGTCGGCAGTTAGGACAGGCTGTCGGTCCACGCAAATACATAATTTGTCTATTTCAATGTTAAGCAGTCCATGATCCACGTGCATTCAGGCTAGCCAGACAGCGGTTGTAAATTTGCAAATGCATAGGCTTCGTAATAATATATGATATTGTTAGAGTGGCCCATATTCTACAGAGATATATGTATCCCATTGCCGGGTATGTTGAGCCGATTATGCGTGCCTATACGTGGACCCACTGTTTACTAAGCTGTGCCAACGAGCCGCTTGCAAGGCTCGATGGGCTAAGTGGTGTTGGAATGAAGACTACGTAGTCAGCATTCACGTACATTGAGGCATCGTCATTCTTAAACAATGTCCAGAATCTCATTCGGATGGCTTCCCTAATATTACGCCAAAGGCCTTATCGATCAATTTTTCTGTGCGGACAATTGGCAGTATTGCACGTACAGATAACACATCTCCGGGTTGTTTCCTAAGAGCTTAAATTGTTTTAGATGATTTTATTTTCTATGAAACTAGGCTTTGAATGATTACGTTCACATATATACGTATATATATATATATATATTGAGCGGTGCGCGGGTGCGGTTACATTGAAAACGTCAAACGCCGTTTCTCTAGATTAGCTTCCTGGACATATATACAACGGTTAATTCGAAACCTCGTTGCCGTTAGTGATTGTGAAGAGCTGAAGAACGGGTCTTTTCTGTCACGTGTCTGTCACAATGAAGTGCACAGGTCGTGTATGTAGACTGTTAGCTTTGAAGCGACTTGCAGTCGCAGCAGCGGAATTATTTACTGTGATTCTACGAAGGGAGAGTACTGTGCTGCCTGAAAATGTTATGTATTATAATACAGACATACATTGCGCAGCTCATACGAAAATGAGGGGCACGTTATTAAACGAAGCGGACCTTTTGCGAGCGGCCGCAAGGAAACACCTACCAAAGGTTACCAGCGGTGTGTTATATTGTAACGCCCAACCATTTATAAACTGGAGCTTTAAAGCACACCCTGAAGCAAATAGCAAATTTTGCTTGAGAGGAGAAACACACACTAAAACAAATTCTATCAGTTGACTAAATTGAACGTCCTGCTATCTGGAGTTATGAGTTTCGAAGGTACGGTTCAAGCTAGCATTTGGATTCGGGCTCAGAAACGTTAACAAGTGTTTATAATGGATGAAGCAATGGGATCCCATGTTAACTGCCGTTCATGTGATAGTAAAAGAAATAGGGCGTCGTTCGTCGGCAATGCAAATTCATTTTTTCCATTGCCGTGGTTCTTGCCTACGGTCGGCCTTGATACGGCTCTTCATTATTGGCTCAAGGATTTACCAGGATAAAGAGATCCATACGGCTCAAATGGATCGTCATGTATTAGGATCAATAAAGTGCATTTTTTGAAAAATACCTAATCTGTGGCGCTGATGGCCTATGAACATTTAGAAGAGGTAAGTGATCGCTTCGAAAAAGAAAAGTATTTGAAATATTGGGGCGTCCTTGCTGATGTTTGAGCCAGTTGGAGAGGTTAGTACTCGATAGCATGTGTACAATATACGCCTATAATAGCGGTTGGATGAGGTGAATCAACTTCGTCTTAAAATTAAGTTCTAAATAAAAGTTCATATTGATAAGTCGGAGTCTGGGATGATAAATATGCGACTAATGCACTGAATTGCCACACGGAGTGAGTCTCCCGAATGATCTGGTTCATGGCTAGGTATTGTGTCGTTACGGTCGTTTAGGGAGGCTATGAAGGGTTCAGTAGTCCAAATAAGATCTCCAATAAAAATACTGTTAATTCGGTCAGCTTTGCTATTAGTTGGCTTTAAACGAGGTACGC